ACACACACACACACACACACACACACACACACACACACACACACACACACACACACACACACACACACACACACACACACACACACACACACACACACACACACGCAGCTACCCTCATAACTGCAGACGCGGACTCAACACGCACAGACAAATTGATACACTACAAAATCACTTCAACCCGCTTCTCATAACCCACCCGTCTCTTGAGAACATTCCTGAACCGATGATGATTGTGATGTGTTATGCGTAAAACGGGTACATATTCACAGATTATGCACAGAATGATCAGATTTTTAACGATCTCTGCGAAGCAAATATAATTAATTCAGGTCAAAATATGCTAACATGGGCTTTACTCCAGGTTGACCTGAATAACCGAACTGAATATGACAAAGACTTCAGCTGATATCACTTGGATCACAGCTACAATTGAGCAACAATTCAAAGTCATACTAATTATCCGACTCATTTGCTTTAAATGGTACAATCTGATCAATGTATTCGATTGACCTAAATCTAAACATTGAGCTAAACAAATCTTTTCTGAGTTCGTTCAGTCTGCATCAGATTACTTATTAAAGTAAATGGAATTTTATGGAGGGGGAACAACTTTGTGAGTAATATCAGTACCGCGTTTTAGTAAATAACTGGCAATATAGTGACAGCAAAGAGCAGACACTCAGCATCACTTTAGTGTCAACGAGGTAGAATCTACACTGTCACCCTACCTGTCCTTGTATGTGCAACTCTCTGACGTATTATACATTGGCGCAGTCGTCTGTGCATATTATATATATATATACATATATATGTTTCGAAGTATCAACTGTACAAAACTGCATGCTTACTGTTCAGTGACTTATCATCAGAATCAGTGTAGGAGGGCGTGCCACCAAGGACAGCCTATTAACAACCCAACAGTTAACGACAGTTAAACAGAAAGTGAGTCATCGATGCAATAGTCTTGAGATATTTTGACCGGAAAGTGCAAAATACCGCCCTCCCATACTTTCACTAAGTAAATGTTGCCGAAGCTATTCAAGAAATATGCGACATTTTGTTCGAGATAAAGAAGTCCAACGAGATGTAATTAGTGGAAATTAACTTTTCATATGGATAGCCGTTTCCCAAACATTTAAGCAGTGAAAATAGAAGCAAGGTTATTAATTTCTAATCTCTAGAATATCATAGGCTTCTTACTCATCACTAGTTTTGTTTGGTTTTGAGAAACACTGCAATCGATTAGGACAAGTTTTTCAAATTTATTTATCAAATCCTCTCAAAAAGAATGAATCATCTTTTTGGAAAAACTCGAAATAACAAATAACTTGGAATTACACTTGTTCTATTTATGAAAAGGGTAGAACAGAATTCCATATATGAATTAACTTATGACCGTAAACTACTTACACCTTTGTGTACCAAAAATAAGTATAGCGTCCAAATTTTTGATCATTACCTCCCTGAGATCGCATGTCGAGATCACGGAAGATTTTCCTTACCAGTTATTAGTACATTCAGGAAAGATAAACTCCTGCAAAGAAGACTAAACCGGAACCTCAACAAAGTATTTGAAGCAGCACTAAAGTAATAATATTGCTTCAAGAATGTAATATAAATATATTCAAGTCCGCCGAACGAAATTTTATTGTCTGTTGTATAAAAAGTGCCTAATAAGAGACCAATAAGTAAACACTGACTGCTTAGAAGGTACTTGAATTTCTGCTTGGAAATAAAAAGTGATCAAAAAAAGGACTTCGATAAAAAAGGGAAAAAAATTAAGGAAAGACGAATTTTCAATAAGAATTCTTGGTTCCTTCAATGAGTTCATTTGCATCTATTCTGAACTAAATTTCATAGGAAATATAATGGATAATCCCTCTCGAATCAGTATCAACTTTGTTACATCATATAATACACGAAATATTTTCGGGTGTTATGAATTGCTCTGAGAAATCAATTCGACCTAAATTATATGAGTGAAGGATATCAAAGTGAAGATGTTCAGGATGAGGCAGAAAGATGGACGTTTTCTATGTCATCAGATCAGCGAAAATAAAGAAAACACCTCGGAGATGACGTTAACGATCGATTAGAGGAACTTTCATGGGATAAGTGAATTAGCTCCCTATTCCTGCCTTCCACCTAGCTGAGTCTGTCTCACAAATAAAGCCATCATGCTTCGACAACTAATGCACAGTGCAAGAAGCGCCAGCAATGAAATCTAATGAAAAGGTCACACACTACGAAATATGATACGCAACAATGGCTGCTATAGAGTAAGATCACGATCGTTTCCACGTGAGGTTACGAAAGGATTCACAGTGATGCTTCTGTGAGCTATAGAAAACAGGTGATATGAGTACTTTTGGTGAAGCAAAAATCGGACATCGCTCATTCACATCTATTACTACTAAAGTGTGCAACTCCCAATAACGCTCATAACGTAAGCCTCCCTCAAGCATTGTAAAGGGCGGTATTGTGCAAGATGAGGAAATCGTTCAGTAAGTTCAATAATATAGCCTTGACACTGATATTTCACTTAGTGGTGCAGCTTTACTATACTTCCTGTAATTTTTTTCTTTTCTCAAAATCCCATCTCTTCATTCTTCACTTCGGATGTATGAATAATAATCAATCAGTAACCGCATATGCTAATACTATGAGACAGCATTTCTTTCTTACTGAAAATGAATCCTTTCTCCAAATATCCTATTGTTTCCGGCGGTCACAAATGCATATCGCTGCTTTCTTATAACTAATATGTCCTTTTATTTCTCTTTTACTCTGTTTACGACAGACTGCTAGCAAACCATTATATAAGATGACTCTCCATTCCGCTCTCCTGCGTGAGTTAATTCTGAGTTAACTCAATGGAAAAAAAAAGACTCCTGACTCAGCAATTTTTAGGTAGTATTGGAAAAACGAAGGCTTACACCTCGGTAAACAGTATTTTCGGCAGTGCGTTGAGCAAGAAATTAGCATGCAATAGCTATTTGTGCTCAGAGTAGAGCGTTACATAGTGGTGTGTAATGGAAATTAAAAAACTTTCTAACTGTAAAATGAGAAGGTCAAAAATAGTGCAAGTGCCGCTCCGGACAACTGCATTGGAAAAATTGCTATTTTACAGTTCATTAATTTTTTGATGAGGAAGTTGTGAGCTTTCTTCCCTTCGAACTCTTATTGAAGGCCATTTCCTCTGATGATTTCGTAAGTGATGTATTTATTTTGTAATTATTTCACTTCACAAGTTTCTCGAAATATTTTTTTCTAAACTAAGATCTGCAACCGAATTTAACTGATAAGATCAGTGATGTGTAAAAGAAAATGTACTGAACAGTACAAGGATATTACAACTATCAGCACCAGTACTTGCTGATACAGGATCCTAAGAAGATCGGATAACTGCCAGTCACAGTAACTATTTAACTCTCTTACCGTTATAGGAAAAGCCAGACACTCCCACTTATGAATCATACTTCTTATTTCATTATATCGGCTTAGTTACATGTTTACTTGATATTCATTATGACGTATCATGAGAACATGAATAAAGAGAAAGACAAGAGATTTCTGATGTTGAAAACGTTTTAGCTCTGCTGGAAAAACTGTGCTCAAGAACAGGTTCCTTCTCTTAATGTGGCCGAAAAAAAAGCAATCACTGTAATCCTGGTAAATAACCGGTACTGGTACCTTACACCAATGTTAATGGAGATTTAACGCACATCAAATTCTTCCCTACCTTTCCAATAAATTATTGTTGTCTAATAAGCTTACGGATACCACGAAAAACCAAATAATCAAGAATAAACAAGGCTATGGTTGGAAAGATAAAAGCTGAAGATGAATTAGCCCTATCTTTGGCTCAATTTGTGACGAACATTCGAGCTTAATGAGGTTGAACACTGATTAGCAGAAATGAAAAAGTCCTAAAGATTTCTTCTAAAACAAAGGGAGAGCTAAACTTTCTCTTCCCTAAGATTTCGTCATACGCAAAGTAATAAGTCTGGAGACAAAACAAAACTATGGTATATCCGCACACTTTCTTAACTGTCTTTGTAGTTATTGAAATGATCAGGATGGCAATTTCTCGAATTGACATCTACTGATTTTATGATTTTTCACTAACATAAAGATTTTCGGATAATCACTGGGACGCCCATATATGGTAATTTTCAAATCTTAGGGAATCAATTCTACTGTAATGGTGTCTACCTTCAACTTAATATATGTGTCCATTTCGTAGCTGAGTTTCAGTCATATCAAGCATGTTTATGCTCTAAAATGAGGTCCAATTACTTCTGCAATTTGCTTCAAGTAGTTGAATGATTCAAGTTCCCAGAAGAAAATTGCAGTTGAATCACAACAGAAATAGACTGCATCTCAGGAATGAGGGAAGCATCAAGCCAGAATTTGCAAACTGTCGACAGCAATCATGCAATTTTCTCAACAATGGAAAGTGTATTTTATTTTTTTCTAAATGCTATAATGGGTAAATTCAAGTCGAATGTTTCTGAATAGAGCTATGCATTCTCAGAATATACACATCATTTCATATCTCATATCGAAAAGAAAGTTGGCTGAAATACTGATTTCGTATTCCAAACAATATATCTAGACAAAGCATGATATATCATCTCCGGCACTTCCTTTTCACATCTCAAGCTTTGTCATGATTTATCAATAAATGCATAAAATCCTAGAAAAGTAGTCTTACCGCCGCCTCCGCCGACCACTGTACCACTGCTGTAGTTTCCAGATTGTCGGCTCTGAGTACGAACCGCTGTACGCGGTTGGATAGTAGAACGATAAGCGATTTCATATTCGCTTTCAGCATTTTGTTTTGAGGATGACATTTTGTCGTTTGTTTTTTCCTATTAACTTTTGAGATGACTGAGAGAAATAAGAACTGGCGTGCGTTTCTCAACAACTGAAGGTGAATTCACACTGAAATGGTATATTTCATGAAAATTTTAAATTAGAAAATAAGACGTAAGACGATGCGATAAAAAGTAAATGGACGAGATGGATAGAACAACGCAACATTTAAACAAAATTATTTATAGATTTCCAATGCTTTACAAATCTCCTCTCAAGTTAAGTTACAAGATAGCACAAAATAAAACAAATTTTGATGGAGCAGTGTAGTATGAAATCAAATCATACCATACGTAATGCGCAAACACATACAATATGGAAATTCCATTTGAAAAGGACCATTTGGAGGACGAAAATGGGATTTGTGACAAAAAAAACTTTGTTCAGTATCAGAAATAAAAGCATAAATTGGAATTCTTGCGCTGGAATAACATTTATGATGAAGATAGATGGTGAGAATAATGGATCTCTGAGTGTAGTTATGCAAAAAATGAGTATTGAATCTAAACCAGGTCAAATCGTATGACTCGATTTCTTGTGACAAATAATTCGAGGTAACTACCATGATCGAGTGGTTCGTGGAATGAATGGACCATAATCGCTACTTTTGTCATGTAAGGCATTCAGAACAACTGGACATGAACTGATAAAGCAGAAGTATAAAAATTTAATTTCAAAATAGGTGAAACTATTGTATACGAAAATGCGAATAATTACTTAATCCGATTTTTGATGAAGACTCTAGTCAAGATTTCCAGTGCAAAACGGGTTATGGTAATCGTAGTAGACGCAACAAAGACAAGGCTGATACAGTTACGCCAATCTATTTCAAGTTTTCTTTTGAGCGAATGGATAGGGCTTTTAAAGCTACCGAGAAATATTAAGAACATATAGCATAATCAAATCACAGTTGTTCAGCAGTTTATTTTTAAAGAACTCTATTAAATTTTCAAACCAGAACCACTGTAGATAAAAAAATCCGCAATATTCAAGAAAAAATCTTTAAAACTTTTAGATGCATCTGCTTCTCTGAACAGATTTTCGAATCACAATATGTATTTTCTATTTTTATGTCTGTTCATTATCACCAAAGAACAATCAATCATTAAAGAACAATCAGCAAAGTGCACAGAAATGTGCTCTTTGGAGCCAACAGAATTTTTTGTTGCAGATAAATACAGAAGAGAAAAAAGTGAAGATCTTAGATTCAAAAAGAGATATTAATACTGAAATTCTTACGGGAAATAAATAATGCCCGTCAACTATAGCAAGAGACAAAATATGCAAATTACTTGGTGACTAATCAGTTGCAGAAATTTCTGAATCAAATTTCTTTTGTTTGATCGCACCGCTCTTCTGCAAATCCTATCAATGGGGAATTTCCCATACAACTATCATATGGCTCAAGTTTGGTATTGTACCTTTAGTTGGAATAATCAACAAATCAATTCTTCAGCTAGTAATGATATGATAACCAAAGGCGGATAAACATTGTTAACCGAAGCGGATTTGGATGAGCAATCTTCGTCTATTCAAACTATTATTTTTTGTTTACATCTCTTTGTGACCATCATGAAATTGGTGTGACCATCTGCAAATGGAAAATCATAAAGTGCTGGGAAGGGATAATAGAATCCTGCAAGTTTCATGTTTCCATTATCATCAAGCTCTCTGCAATGAAAATCTCGAAAGATATTAGCATTTTTCAAATTTCATCCATCGTTTCCTCAATATATCAAATTCCAAAGTCGACAGAAGAATTTGAGCAGTTTTGAATTAGAATTACTGCGCAAAAAGTGCAGATGAAAATCACAAAAAAACGAAATTAGGATCAAAATCCAAACTCTTTTTTTTTTTGTGAGTGATCTGAAGGAAGACTGTTAGGGAGGAGCTCAAATATAAACGGCGAATTATATTCAAGGCTTGAATCGATTTTCTCACCCTCATCTATTCTTTACATTAAAGAGAACCACCAATTCTATCCAGTCGTTCATCAAGAAGGCCTCCTGATAGTGATAACAGCCGACCGAACCCTCCATTCTGATTCATTCACCTGTCTGGTCTTCACGACATGCGTTAAATAAATGGTAATTTATGTTCGGTCATGCATCTCGGAATGCAATGGAAGTAAAAGTTGATTGAGTTCTTGAAAAATGCATGTCAAGAATCTTCTGCTAAATTTCATGTTCGGGCTGTTATTTTATGGAGGGAAAAAAATCAGTTCTTCATGATAATGAATGATAAGAAAAGTTCAATTCATCCCAATGAAGCATAAATAAAATGGGTTGCAAAGAATGACTTTGTTTCTTATCCTGTTGCGAATTGTAATGGTAAAGTATTGACGACGAAAAGTGGTATTATATATGTCGATGAATAGGGAACATGCAAAGAACTTGGCCACTTTGTGAACTTAGTAGAAATGTTGAATTCATTGGGAGTAAAGTCAGTCGATTTCGAATGAAATTTAAATCTTTAATTTAGAATTACAACCATGAAAGTGTATATGTATGTGTATCCAAGAGAAACAAATGTATCTGATACGAAGAATAATGTCTAAAATTCTGGAACAATCGAGAAATTGTACATGAAATTACCACTTTATTATTTCAGTAGTGCATAGTCCCTCAGACATTTGTCGAACAAACTAAATCATAAGTTTACCTTCTCCTCGTACTTTCCCAAAAAAATCACAAAATGAAGATTTGTTTTCCCATCCCACTCTTTCTAAAGAGTGGGATGGGAAAAACTTTAGCAGAGAGGAAAACAGAAAGAGAGAGGGAGAAGGAAAGAGAGAGAGAGAGAGAGAGAGAGAGAGAGAGAGAGAGAGAGA